TGAATTGAAATAACTGTTTTATCGTCATAGTGTATTGCACATCGCTCCACGGTGGATAACATTCACTGTCCTCTGGGATATCGGAAAGATTGTACTCAGTATCACGTAATGAGATTTGTCAAGAATCGCTCTGACGTAATACACTCGCCGTTATTGAAACTAGGCCTTAATAACACGCAGTATATTGCAATGTGTACGTTGGTTTATCCCATTTAGAAACATTGTCTTATTGGCCACGACCAGGCTTGGAGTGCTGGTACAAATATAATAAGTACTCGTTCACCGACGTCGCCGTCGTCCGAACTACTTGTATCTTCAGTATTACTCCTCGATTAGTCGCAGATGTATTATAACGCGTATACGTCAGAGAAAAAAGTAGCACGTGACACATAACCTTCACAATTACGGAAAACAGATGTAGATAAAATTGAAAGTCATTACTTACATTATTTTGAAAATGTCAAAGAGGGAAATCCGTAGAAAATGTACAATAAAGAGAAAGTGTTATGTTTGAATATTGATTTCTGTCGTATATAAATTACAAATTTTCATAAATTAATAATACATCTGTCATAAATCTGTAATGAACACGTTTTACTGTTTATGTTTATAAATTATTTAACTGAACAATGAGTATGTCCGTTCTAATTTGAAAATAAATGTGCGCAACTGTAGATAGTATCTGGTTTTTACAGAGAAAAAAAACGACATGTTAACAATGACATGTGCAGATTTTCTCTTAGATAATTGAAAATCAGATAACCATAACTCCGGGTTAATGACTCATGGACAACTACAATTTCAATTCTATTTTCAAACATCGTGAACGCACATGCTGCAGCCTTGGGTCACGCTTTCAATGCAATTTCAAAATTAATTAATTAAGGTGTTTATGTTTATCCATGAGCAAAACATATTATTCGCGTCAGTTGTGTTGAGGAGTCCTAGAAAAAAAACGGCTAAATACCACCTGCGTTTAAAAATAGAAGTTAATCACCGCTAAATGTTGAATGCTGAATAACGTTTTGTAAATAATTGTTGAGTTGAGATACACAATGCATGAGCTAAAGTAGTTAAACACACGTCTGTTACATGGCTGCATTGTTCGTTCCGTCGTTCCTAACTTAAATATCGGTAGTTGTTCTTTTAGACAATATTCCGTTCACTGCGAGATCCCGCGTTATGCGTGAAACCGAACGTAAAAACAGGACAAACAAAGATCATAGCGTTGTAGTGGCGACAAACATCGCGCGGGATTCGACAAACGCGAAAATATTTTGGGGGATATTTCCATGATTAATAATGTGCTGTGCACATTTCACGATGGTAAATTTCGGTGTAGTAAGTGTATTGAAATGCAATATTCCCCGGTCAAAGATTGGTGTTTCGATGTGAGCTACGCAATAATGCAATTCGAGTTCAAAATCAAATTGTTCGATTTCTGCGGCCGACGTTCGGCGCGCGTCTTTCACGCAACTCGTACGAAATCTTGCAGTTGAACGAAGAATCACCTATTAGAACTATGTTAGCAACTAACTGTATTTATATGCCATTACATTACACAATACATTATTGCAACACTAAAAAGTGCAATTGTAAAGACCATGCACATTTATACGTCATCACTACTCCAGTAATATTCCCGTTTCGTCTGTTGCGAATATGCTGAATATAAAGTCTGTGTGCAGTGATCACCCACCTGCTTACATTAAACCTAGATGAAACTTACTAAACCGAGAAACACCGATTTTTACACTGGCAACAGAGAGCATATATAATCACCGTTATTTATCACAAACTATTCGCAAAACAGTGTTCATGAAAAAATGTAAAATAGAGCAGCGCAACATGGGTATTTTTTTTTAGTTAACTGCGTACACAGTTCAATGCGATGAGTAGATAAGTCGCTTTAAAATAAAATCCCCATTCATCAACCCTTCAACATGAACTTCAACAATTCATAACACACATAATGCAAAGAACACACTTTCTTTCATAATTCCAATGCAAAATGTTATAGTTTGGGTATATTTGATTTCAGAATTTTAGGTGTTAATGGCTGTTAAAATGGGCCTTTCGTTTATGTTATTTGGTACAAATTGTATGATTCTACGTCCAATATTCTCAATACGGCCCTTTAATGTCAAAAGAACGCACATAATCCTTCGTACAGTGGGGCTCAGCATGAAACACTCAATGGCAATGAGAGTACAAAAAGACGTCAAAATCGTTTTCATTTAAAAAGTACAAGGACGCCGCGATTGTTTGCAATTGTATTTGTTGAGAATGAATGGCAGGCTGAATCGCAATGCACAGGGGGTAAAGTAAAAGGCATTGTATTGTCTGAAAATACCGGTACACTGAATCGAACCTTCACACACTGTCAACATACATGTACGAAGTTCACTACGCCGTCGCCATGGTTCAAGCTATATAAAATAACAATTCTCTCGGTAGATACTACGATTCTATTGTATTAATCACTGATTCATGCGGTTGACACATTAGCCAAACTCACAAAGAAAACGTTTCTGTGATTAAGGAATCTATAATGATTACAATTAAAACATCGACCTGACATCTCCCTAAGTACCTCCTGGTTACGCGCAAGTGTTCGTATTGTCGTTCATCAATGCTGTAAAAGTTTGTTTGATCATGTAGTCCACAAAAGACATATCATACTATCTGCACTTCTGTTAACGTCAAACAGGGTTCAATTTTAAAAGTGGTCATCACTTCGGTGGCTATGATGGGTTACTTACTTACTGTCACAGGGCCTATCAGTACAATGTTTATAGAAGTTTTCGTTGTTATTTATTTACCTTCAAGTTGATCAAAATTGTTGAAAAGGATGATAGGCAGGTTTATTTTGTGAAATATAACAAAAGTTCACTTCAAATGGTTAAACAAGCTGGTATTTAATAGACAGCTAAAATAATATAAATAATTTTCAATATTAATATTTGTTTAATTCATACAGATCACAGCGTAATATAATAATTTGTTCGATTGTGGCTTTATCCATACGTTTTCTAAAATTGTAAAACTTACTATGTTCGAAGAATAGTGTGTGTTGCATAAACAAAACTGACAATATCATGCAAATCAATAATCAATAATCAGCTGCTGTCAAATCTACTTATCGCTTCCAGTGTTCGCATCCAGTGTTGCGTGAGTTAATCTAATTAATCAATGCTATAGATGTAATTATGAATGACGTTTAAATTAACTATGACGAAATGTGCAGAATAATTAATAATTACAGCTTACGTAAACTCTAAATAAGACGTCAATCATGATTTTTGCTGTTTCAATATGTATCGTCATTTTAGATTGAGTTCGTTACTGGACAGTGGTACATCGCGAATATTTAATATTCTGTTTGCTCTGTTGTAATACAAAAGAGATGTTTTCCCCGAACAACAACTTGAATGATGGGGTGGAAATAACTTGGGTGTAGATTTTACATACATTTTGAAATAGAATATTTGCAAGAAAAATAACTATATTTATTTGATAGATATGTGATTATAAAAACGAATCATTACAACAGGAGACGAGTTAAATAGAGAAAGTTGCAATATTGTGGATATATTGTATGTGTGTAGGATCTTCACGGGGAAATGTTATGTGTAGAAACTGAGACGTGAGAGGAATAAGAGGCGTGGTTGATGTGAACAAAAAAGAGAGAAGGTTACAACAACGACTTAAAGATAGAAAATGGTAACGGAAACCGTCGGTAAGTGATACCGTGCCAAATAAGTAGGATATCACATAGACCGAATACAAAGACATGGATGTCGACTACCGTACTGGGTGGTAAAATGACGATGAATAGCAGGATGCTGCTCGATTAGTAGTGTAACGATGCTGTAACACGTGTGTGTTTTTCTCGGCAAGAAACAAGCGTAGTGATATCAAATTAAATTGAATTTATTTCGACTATCGATTGTTCTCGGGCTAAATCTGATAAAATACCTTATATCCAAACGCCAACGTCCTTGCGCCATTCGCTGGGAATTCCCATGGCATTTTATACAGAGGCTGCGGCGCGAAATCTTGCGTGGGGAGAAATCTGCTCACCAACTCTCGCGCCGAAGTCTCGAGTGGCACTAGGAGGTCCGAGGGCTTGCTCCCCTGGAAAAAATGAAATCTAGACCCTCTGAAACGCTATTTCCTGTATTTTGAAGGCCATATTTTGCAGTACATAGCGTTGGATTTAAGTAAAAAATACACAAAGGGTTTCAGCTTGATTGGGGTGGGGCGACGCCACCAACATTTTTTTCCAGGGGCGACCACCCCCTTCTTGCCACCGCCGCTGTTATAGAAAACACGGAACAAATTAAAGAAACACATTAAACCTGAGAACGTCAAACGTCGGCAGACTACTTTTTATTGTACGCGAATTTGAACGCAATAAATAGCAGTGTCAAGACACTGAAACAGCTCATGAAAGGATGTATTTCAAAAATGAATTCAAACAATGTGATACAAAACATTAGTATGCAAACTCGTGTACAATAATTTCCACTCAGTCGAAGCTTGAACATGTTGTCTTTGCCGACAGCTCTTGACTGAAAAAAACACCGTCAGCCTGAGCATCAACGCTTGCCATCGGTGACAGTGGACATACTACGAATGCCATTAAATACTGTTACGTAATAGTGAAGTTGTATTGAGTTATAACTAAATTTCGACATTAAATTAATTAAAAATAGAACGAGCTGAAAATGAAACACGAGATCTGTACACTATTCCCAATAAAAACAGAGTCAAAGCAATGAACGGGTAACATAATAAATACACAGGTAAAAAACAACTACGTCACGTGGACCTTTAAGTTCTCATTAGATGTAGATGTTACATTTAATGACAGGCCACTTAGCGACCAAAACAAACGATATCAATTATCTTTCAGAAGATTGGTACACTACTCTGTGACATGCATTTTTAAAAAGAGAAAATGTCGGAAGTGACTAAATAATGATAACAAAACCCACCTGTAGAAATCTGTTGAACATGTAGAACATTTGGGAAAACTGCCACGAGCGCCGATTCATGTTTACTGTTTGCTTCGCCCCTGACTTCTAATTGGTATATGATATACCACGCACAGTCGGTTTACTAGTCGGCCAAATGACGCAGTATAGACACCGCTGAATAAGTTTGGTTCACTTCACTCGTTATTTCCCACGCAACTGCATGTACTGGTACTTTCTGGGACGAAGATCGTCGGTATCCACAATTGGTCGATCGTATCCGTTCTATCGGCACTTCTGAAGGAATAGGTGTTGGCGCTGGTGTTGTTATAGACCGAAGCAAATACGGAGAAACATGCACGTCTGTGGATAAAATGGTAAAGCACGGATATGTCAAAACACTCTCTTCATTAAGCGAGTCTGTAAGTCGATGCGAGATTCGCACGATGTGGTCATCAATGCTGAGTGCTAGATCGTTATATGGCAGAGATAATCACACTAGACAACCCGCGATTTATTCGCTGTTGTCACTGAATATCATCAGCGTGCCGCTACGTTGCTTGCAGCACGAGTGTCAGAAACATTCACATGCTTCAGAATGTCAACTGTCTGTCGAAGCGATGCTTATGTCTAGAGTCTGCGCGCGCACTGTTGTAGACATACCCCCGCCTCCGACTTAATCAATTGACTTGTTAGGATACTTGTACATCACCCGTAAATGCTCAAGGTTTTACTTAAATGACACGCTCCGTTTCATAATCGCTTTTCATTTTGTCTTATTTCATATCATCCTGAGTCTGAAAATATTTTATGTTTGCTATATATTGATTCCGGGCTGGCGCTGAACATCTGCTCTTTCCGATTGGTTGACCGGGTCCGCCCCCGACGCTGAATTAAAAGGCCTCTTCCAGGCAGAGTTGACATTTAAAACAAGACAAAACAACCAAGAAAGCGGTAGGCATGTTTATCACCAAATGACCGACTTTCTATTGAGCGTTTGAACGGAAGTGGGAGTGAAAGAGGGCAAGGGGTGGCAAGGCATAGAAATGTTAACCACTGTTGCCCCGCTATGAACCCTATGGGTAATATATTCAATGCACAACAGAGAACGATAGCGTGAGAACTGAAGAACAGCTCCACACTTTGATGAAAGGACACTCCACAAAACAAAACTTGTTATTTAGTGGAGAGTAAACAGCTGTCACAGTCAACACCAATCCACCTTACCAATAGCGGTATTCCTGGCAATTTAATTGTTTTACTTGATGAAACACTAAACATTCTTATCATCGTCACTGAGCCAACGAATGTATAGACTGCCCTAGTCTCCGGCTCGGCAACGTTTCTGCAATATACACTGAAATATACTGCAATTAAACTTTAAACCAGTGCCACGTGGAACGGTAGATACATTGCTATTACGAGTAACTAAAGTATGTGCGAGGGTGTGGCATTGATTAAAATGTGAATAAATGAATAGACAGCACAACCTTCACCCCTGTATTATCCATCTCCATATTCTAGTTCAGAGTGAGGAATGGCGAGAGATATTACAAAACCCATTTGACAACCCAACCCCCCCCCCTCGTCGAAACTGCTCGTAATATTACTTTTCTGATTACATTTTCGAGATTGTACATAACCATGTGGCGTAGACAATTGTATCGTCTACAGAGTACGTATTGGCATGCCGTCAGCGTATCTTTGTGTAAAGAACACTCTTGAGGTCAAATCTGAATCTATTGTCCTTGTCTGGTGATCCTACTCACAGCGTCCAGTCCCGAGATAAACAAACAATTCGCGCCACGCGACGAATGACTCGGACCAGACTAATGGTGGATTTTAAACAGCCGAGTCGTGGAACTGTGTTCCGCCATAGCGGGAGAAGAAAAATAACAAATTCATGATGTTTACAAAATAAAGACGTACACACATTTTTATTCCAGAAAATCTTTTTTTTTATATTATGGCGTTTAATTTGATTGCGCTTAATTGATTTGTTTTGTTTTTTTCATACACAGACGACTTAAGTTGTTTGTCATGCTTGATAGGTGGGTGTGTGTATAATAACTCAATAAATCTTATTCTCTAGACAGAGTCACTTTACGTGGCCGTGAATGAAGCATTTACATATTGCATTGACACGAAACATGCCGTTTCCAAGGTGACGAAGCTTAACTCCTGTTCTGGAACATGGTGTATATTTATATTCTGATAAAACAAGTCGAGCAATAATTGTCGTTATCTTTATGGCGTATGAAATCCCAGTGGAATAAAAGCTGATTGGTTCTTCAAAAAAGTTCAAACGTTTAACTTCAAATGCTTACTTTCTATGAAAGCGATGAAATGAAGATTGTTTGATGATTTGACCATAGATATGTTTTCTAAGGTCTTTGATTTAACACAATAATTTAATAATATGACAAATTGTATTTCTAGTAAGTTTCAGGTACCAGCTTACATCCCTCGAGGTCATTAACTCACTTGCACAATGGCTGGGAATGTCACATCTTTTTCAGATCCATGGTCGCATGCAACTCATGGCCATGAACTATCATGTTTGCACTGACATTTGACAGTGTCAAACTACGTTTTGATCAAAACAGGCATATTCTAGCTAGCATACAGAAGCGCGTTTTCCGAGGTTATATATCAGGGGGATCTTCTTCTTCTCTCGGGGTTCTCCACACGTGTCAGAGGGGAAACTCGTCTCGTCTCTCTATCTCGTCCCCTTGAGGTATGGGATCGGGAAAGTCACTTTAACTTTACAGTCAAATAAGGCACACACAACGAAATACGTTTCAACTCTCGTCTTAGTCGATCTTTTGGAGCACTCTATAAGACACAGCGCCCTGGGAAAAGTCCCCAAGACTCTCACAAGGCTGACCCAAGGCTAGCCCAAGACTGGACTGCCTCAAGGCTCGCCCCTGGACTGGACTCTCGACTCGACTCGACTACCTCTCTCTACTGCGTCTCTCGTAGAGTATTCGCCAAGACCAACTCAAACTCTCTTTATTTATTTTCAAAACTCTAACCAATTACAAAACAGTAAAAGACTCTAGGGCGTAACCTTCAATCATAAAGCCAATCACACTAAGTACTGAATACTTCATATCTTTTGATTAATCGTTCACTACATTAATAACTATGGATATAAACTGTCAGAATGGCGACGATTATCTGGTAATTAGTTCCAAACCACTGAGCCAAGTTCCGTCCAAAACTTCAAATAGACCTGAACGATGACAGACATAACACAGCAATTCGCTAATAATCAACTAATTAAGTCGGTTAACAGATACGCGAAAACAAATTCATGACATATAACTGACTCGCTATAGCGTATATGATTGTAAAACATGTCTTTTTCGAGAGCATGTCATTTTCGCGAATTTAGCGAGAGAACTGATTCGCTATTTCAAGATGTCGCTGATGACTTTATTTTCAATTCAAAATGGCCGCCAAACAAAGAAATCAACAATGACAAGAGAGATTTGCTAAATCAACTTTTCGCTAATACGTCATTTTACCACAATTCGCTAAAATTGCATGTCTCTTTTTCAACATGTTTTACAGTAGTTTATAAAACAACTCTGATTGGAACTTGTAGCGATATTTCTAATTCATTTATTACTCAATAAGTATTTCAGAGTATTGTAAAAAAAAGCGTCAGGCAGAAGAGGGATAAGAAAGTGAGGAATTTCCTTTGATGTCAGTGAATCTTGTAATTTGGAAATTTAACTTTTTATTTTGTGTCCACTTTTTATCTTTCACTGTTAATTATTTTTTTTCAGTTGTCTTGTAATTTTTAGTGACATTACTGCTGTACTTTCCAAATACATTGTTGAGTCAATAAATAAACGTACTAAGCTAATCGGAGCCAATAAAAATGTTATCCAAGTCGACAAAATGTCAAATGTGCAAATGTCTTGCATTTTGAGAGTCCCGCATGAATTGTTGCCCACAGATCATGGATCAAAGATTGACGTGATTACAATGAGAAAGTTTACACGTCATGTTTTTTATTATAGAAAAAGTACCATAAACAATATCTACACATTTTAGATTTCCTTATGACACGATTGTGTCATAGCTTTGTATGCCCATAACATTTGCAATGAAATGTTCAGACAGAAAGTTGACATTTACGAATATGCTTCTCTTCTTTGCAACTTATGTTAAAACCATAGCTATAAGATTTTATTGTCAGACCACCGTTCCCCAACACCAGGACGGTGGTTAGACCGTAGAGCTTTTTTTTTAGCTCCATGGTCAGACCCACTGTGTCAGCACTACACATAGTATTTCCTTTTAGCCCCCACCCGGACAAAATCCGTGAGGGGCTTGTAGTTTTGTCTTCGTCAGTCTGTCAGTCCGTCTGGAGTGATTTCTCGGAGATGGCTTGACCGATTTTGTTGAGACTTGTTACAAAGACAAAGGGATCACCCATACAGATGCACGTTGTTTTTCTTTTTTGAAATGATAAAATATGGCCGACTGGCAGCCATTTTGATTGTTAATCATGGCTTTTGTCTGCCCATTGATATTTCTCAGAGATGACTGATTTCAATGATACTAGGTACAAAGACACAGTGAGGAGGTATACACATACATGGATGTATTTCCTGATTTGATCTGGCGGCAATTTTCAATGTCAAAATCCTGTAAAATCCATTTTTTCGGTGTGTCCATCATCATTTCTCGGAGAAGCCTGGGCTGCCTGAAGCCTGCTGAGACTTGGTACAGAGTGACCACTAGTACAGATCACAGTCCCTCTATCCCTCTAGCGGGACTGTGTACAGATGCACATTGATTTATTTTTTCAAGAAATCAATTAATGAGCTCATTTGCATATTTAATTATTAATTTGAATTCTTGTTAATATCTTGTGAACTAATAGTTCAAATCAGACCAAACTTTGTGGAGACTTGATTTGTCAATATAAGATGTGTGCTATGCAATATTGACTTTCAACTTATTTAACAAGCTCATTTGCATATTTAATTAATTTTGAATTTTTCTTAAATAATATCTTGTGAACTAATTGACCGAATGAGCCCAAACTTGGTATAGACTTACTTGATCTGTCAATATAAGATGTGGGCTATGCAATATTGACTTTCAACTTAATTAATGAGCTAATTTGAATATTTAATTCATTTTGAATTTTTGTTAATATCTTGTGAACTAATGGTTCATATATTTGCTATTTAATATTGACTCAATTGAATTTCCATATTCAATTGATTGTGCATTTTTGTTAAAATTGATGCAAATTTCACCAAATTCAATAGAGATGTCCTAGCTGTTAACTTTGAGTAACATACTTTTGATTTACAACTTAATTTTCCTACCCGATTTTATACATATATATTCAAACTTTATAATTCATAGTCAACTATAATCACATTTGACAAGTGGGGCTTTGTCATCTTCAGATGACTTGTTTTGTTTAACCTCAGACCACTATTGGTCTGAGATTTAACCTAAGTTAATCTAACCATAAATTACAAGGTTTACAAGGTAGATAATACAGCAAACATTAT